TTCCTGCTAGCTGCATTGAAAGCTCCTTGCTTCTGAATACTGTTGGCTTTGGTGAACCATGGTTCTGCACCCAGCTATCTCTAGTCCCCATGGCTCCACAAGCCTCTATCGCAACCTTTCTCCATCCAACCTTCTCTCCAAACTGAAGAGTCCCAGCCTTTTCAGTCCCTCCAAAACCTTCTAGAGAGACTAAAGTTTCGCCTCTGGAGGGTTTCTGACTCATCTTTATGGGACTTTGGATTATTTTGGAACTGATCTGAGCTGTATGACTCACAGTTCTGTATAGCACCCCGAGAGCCTTCAGTTCTGCCTCTGGTTGTGATAATTGCAGATGTGTGCTTTTTCTCTCATCTGATGAAGGTGAGGAGCTTTGATCGTTTGGGATAATAGAACTTGTACTCAGCTGATGTTGCTGGTACATTTTGGTTTTGAGGCATTTATATTTTCAGAGAAGGAACCATGTAGAGGCCTTTTAATACAGTTTTGATTTTGATCCAAGTATGCATTTACTGTTTAGAAAAGCTTGCCTCAAATTTTTGGAAGGAAAGTTTTAAATTGATTTTACTGTGGAATGTTTGTAGGGCTTATACTCATGTTTTAGCTGAGCATTTATATTTTTTTAATTTAAACGTCACTTTTTCTGTGACTTTCATTGAAGCTCTAGCATAAATAGCAGGAGATAGAAATGTTACGCAAATTAAATTGTCTCCAAATAATATATATATGCTGAAGAAGTACTTGGTGCCCTCAGATATATTTGGAAAGAAGAGCTCCTTATCAAATTCTCAGTGAGGCTTTGGTCCAGTCCAGGAAAGCTGTGCGGTTTCCAGGGCTCAGAACGGGGCAAGCTTTTGATGCCAGATCAGAAGTGGTGCCTGAGTCTGTGCTGGACTAGTGCAATTATAACGCCAGGGAAACTCTGAAGTCCGCAGCACTGTGATCTTTATGTGGAGAAAAGCAGGGTAACTTTCTTTTTAAAGCCCTTAGGCATTTGGGGGTGGGGAAAGGCAATCTGCTAGTGATCCCTACCACACAGGATGTTTCATAAATAGGCCCCTAAAGCTGAGGATTGAAGTAGAACAAGATCAGAGTGGGAATGCTGACAACATACCACTTTAAATGGATAGTTGCCATTCTTGTCTGTTTTGTTTTGTTTGAAGGAAAGAAAGAAGGGTTGAATTCAGGACATGCAAAAGAATACAGAGTACCTGATATGAGATGTCTTAATACTAGAACTCCATAAGGATGTGACACTTTTAAGGCTATATATGTGTCCTGAAGACTTTCCAACTGAATGTCCATCCCTGCCATTGACCCCGTACTGGCAGACCCTTCAAAAACTGGGAGCTGAAGTGCAACTGACCCTGCCCACCCATACACAACAAGGCCCAGGCATGATACTAGAATGGCATAGTTCCTCAGCAAAGGAAGAAGACAGGGCAAATTAAAATCCTTGCTCTGAGTCACATGTATCATGAGAATTAGACATGTCTGTACATGCTGTTCTGGAATAGTACTCTGAAACATTCATTCTGATATAATGATGCTTTGTTGGGGTTTGGCTCAACCTGCTCTCAGCAGGGATTCAGCAAAACCCAGAAGTCTTATTCCTTCGCTTTCAGAATGCTCCCATGGGGTGCTTATTTGGAGCTTATTTCAGGCCGTTCCCGTGCTTGAAACCTCATCCTACATTACTCTGACTTCTGTTTAAGCGTGAACAAGAACTGAGGAATAGTGTTGAGGAGATGCGTGCAACACAGGGGCTTGGAAGAAAATCCAAAGTACATAACAGGGACAGGGAGAGAAAGGAGAAAGTAGTGAAGTCCACATTGAGGGATTGACTTGCACAAGCACAGCAGTTTAAAACACTCAAAACCCTGTGAATCTAGGTTTCATTTTCAGGAGTACTTCAGTTTCAAGTCAGTGGACTTAAGATCCTTTTGAAAACCCCATTCAATTATCTCTCTTCAAGTCACAGGACTGAGTTTGAAAAGCATATTTGAGTTGTAAAAAGGAGGATGTGGAAGGGGGGCATGAATTTTTGCTGGGATAATGCAAGATAGTCTTACGTTTGTATCATACACATGTGACTTCATAATTTGCTTGGCACTTCCTGTAAGGTATGAAAAAACACCCATCTGACTTCCAAAATATATTTTGCATTCTTTTACTCAGCTCCTTTGAGGATATTGGAACACACTTTTTTCCCCCCTTACTGATTTTGTCAGTCACCATCTGATGGAGCGAGGCCATCTTTCTGTTTGTAACAAAGCATATTCATCACAAACCTCCCTTCTCCATTTAGACCAATGACAGTACATGCAGGAGTTTTGCAAACAAATAACCTTGCCTTGCCATATCACCTCATCATAGTGAGGTATTCAACCAGTTAGATGTTAAAATGTCTAATAATCCAACCCTTCTTCCTCAATAAACTCCTCAAACAGCCATGATGAATACAAGCAGAAGGATGCTGTCGAAGTTACTGATACAAAATTAATATTGCCTACCAAGTATAAATGTAGTATACCTCATGGAATGAAACATGGCATAACCTCAAAAGTACTGTGGTGCTTGAGCTTTGTTGGGATTCCCCTGCTTATGCACAAGAACCTGAGAGTGACGAGATGGACACACAAGGAGACAGTAGAAAAGATGAAGAGTCGGACAAATTCAAATGTCAAAAGTAGATGAGGGCAGCCAGCATGAAGCTGTTTCACTGGAGGACTCTGCAGACTACAGTCGGTTTCACTCCTTTTTTTGCCAGAACACCTCAAAGCTCATCTGAAAGGGTTGGGTAGTTAGTTGCTCAGCCACTCCTAATAAAATGGAAATTAACGTTCTGCCACTATATGGGAAGAGAAAAGGTTAAAATACCTTAACTACTTGTTACCATGTTTCAATACTGCCTGCTATCTGTCAGCTGCAGGAGAAGTTGGTCTCTCGCCAGGCTGCTCTGTATTTGGTAGATGAGCTATTTTTATTTCATGAATAATGCTTGGCACTCAACACCCACCCGTGATATCCTATAAATGTCACTAATGATGAGTTTGGCGCTCTAGCTCAAGGCCATGGAGTGGGTGCTACTCAAATTTATTTATTAGGGATTCTTCATTTGTTCAATTACTGTCCAAAGAGGTTTAATTTATTTGGTTCTATTGACTGAAGGGGTGGAAAGAGGAGAAGAAAGAGGGAAGATAGAGTTTGGTGTTGGTAAGTGTCCTTGATTGGGTTTGGGGAATTCTGTGCTGGGTGTGGCTCTGAGGTCTGTGTGGGAACACTTCTCTGATCTACTTTGATTAAAGATCTGCCCAAAATATGTTTTACATTATTCCTTGTGCCTGAAGGCTGAAAAAGGCAGCATGGCACTCTTATGGTGTGTGGGCTGTGCCTGCAGGTTCTGCATGGTGCAATCCTTGATGTGAACCTATCTCTTATGTGATAATTTGCCATATACCCAATTGCTGTCAAACAGGGAGTATCTCTATGGCATTTTTGATGTGTAAAACAGTTCCAGAGAGGAAATGCTTAAGAGTGGGAAAAATATTTGCCTTTCAAATATGTTCTACCATCCTGACTTTCTGAATTGGTAGGGTCTGAAATGGAAGGCCAAGTTTTGTTCCACTTAACTTTCTCACTCGTTTACTTCTGATTTCTGTCATCCTTCCACACATATGAGACGATAGCTGTGGCAGGCCCTGTGCAGGGTTTAACTTGCCCCGTTTCTCAGAGATGGGTTTTGCTAGAGCGATGGCTGTTTGGGAGAGTTGAGGCAGCCTTCTGAGTGTGGATGGAGATACAGTGGAGAACTGCTTGGTATGGGGATTGAAATGGTGGGTAATTCTTGAGAAAGACCCTAATACTCCTTCTAATTCCTGTCTCCCAGGCATGAGTCCATATCTGCCCTGTCCTCTATGCCTGCACTCTCATCAGACAGTGACAAGGATGGTGAAGACGAAGGGAATGATGAAGATGAGTTACGTGGGCTGCAGTCTTTCCATATTCAGTCCAGCTGCAACACTGGGAGAGACTCAGGTATAAATGGGAGAGGGGCATGGGCAGAGATGGAGAAAAAAGGCGTGAATGTGAAGTGGGGAGAAAATGAGAGACACTGGCTTAGGGATAACAAGATATGGGCAGAAAGAGAAAGACCAAGACAGAAACAGATGCAACAACACCAATGGGTAATGTGGAGTTGCCCACTCCTGCCTGCATCTCCTGCATTTTGGAGTTCTCCGATTAGAAATTCGGTTGTTAAATTGCCAAGTTTCTTGCTAGCTCCAACTGGCCAATTTTGAAATAGTGTCCTGGGCTTTGGTCTACAAGCTACTAGAAGTCCACAGAAGCCAAAAGAGATCTCACGACAGATTCTAGAGACGTCTGATAAAACTTACAACAGAGACTACCATTAGAAACTTGAGATATTTTTATACAGATGCTACAGTGTATTGGAGCAAGATTTTTTTCCCAAGCCTTTGGTGGGCCACTGCACTGTCGCAAGTGTTCTGCAGTGGGTCTGCTGAGTCAGTGAAAATCTTATGTAAAACTATGTCTCCATTAAAATTTGGATACAACAATTTGGTAGTCTATGGGAAAGCATGTGTTGGCAGTGGGCTGCTGGTTCAAAAGGTGTAGGAATGCTGCCTTTGAGGAAAGATGAGGTAAGAGGTCTTTAAAAAGCTGGACTGCTGACCTAGGTATATATTTTTTTTTCCCCTTTCTAGATCCAGACCTTACCCTCTCAAGAAGCCTTTCCCATTGGGAAATGAGGAGGGTGAGTTACTAAACCTTCAAGTTGTATTTCTTGTCATGGGGAAACTGGAAAAGAAATTCCCATGGACATTAAAAGTCTCACTGGGGGAAAGGTGCAGTTGCAGTGGGAAACCATTGAGATGCCTCTCTGTGAAGAATGACTTGGGGATGGCAAAATAGAGCCTAGTTTACGAGACAGTTTCATCTGGGTTTTTTTATATTGGTATCTTTTTCATCAGATGTCATGTTTTTGTCCCCTTCATTTCTGGTCTGAATGTCATGTAGTGCTGAAGCTGATCATATACTTGGACCCAAACAAGGCATTTAAATGTTCAGTTATGCAAGAAGCAGCAACAAAAGTATCATCTTTACTTGAGGGGGGAATTTTAAGCTGCGTTACAGACAGCTTTGGAGCTTTTATGGGGGTGGACATAATTGTGTTTTATGTGGGTCTTGTGTTTTCTCTCCTGCTTTTCCATCAGCAGAACTCAGTCTCTAATACTGTCTTTCTTTTGATTTCCTTCAGGCCAAAGAGATAGCAGCGATCCAGCGCTCAGAGGCACCGATGAGCAAAATGCCCCGGCAACGTGGGCGCTGGTCCCAGCCAACCAGCAACATAGAGATGACTGTGAAATCCATGCTTGACTTGCGTCAGTTGGAGTCTTTCTCTGTTTCCCGTTCTCCGAGTCGAGACTCGCTGTCTCAAAACAGCAATGGGGATGACAGAGAAGAGCAATCAGATCTTCCTGTACACATCAACAAAGTAAGGGCAGTACTACTCTGAGGAGGTGAATCTACTCTGAGTGCGTTTGTCCTGCCTCTGTTTATTATTACCTACACTTATTACTACCTGGTGCCATTCTCTCTGTCTTTAGAGGTGGCTCTAAATGCCTTCTGAGAAACCTGTTTAGATAACTCTTTTGTAGTCATTACTTCTGCAACGTGTTATCTTACAGCAGAGCCCATATGGGATCAAGGTTTCTTTCCAATGACAGGGAAGACCTCAGGTTTTCTTTTAGCTCTGATTATTTATGGCAAAAACAAGCTGAGAAGCTGAGCTCGGAATTACAGATGTGTACCTGATTACCTGTTAGCACTCTGCTGGGGTGCATTTTCTTGACTCAAGTAGCCACTGAAATGTGACTCATGTGACTTCCTTAGTTGTGGGCTGTGCTAGATTAAGTTCTCTTTGATCTTTGTGTTGATGGGTCACAGTAAGTCACATGTGCTCATACCTCAGAAAGCTAATGCCTATTTTCCAGTAGCAGTCTGTCCTGGTGCCTAACCTCATTAGAGTTTTTCCTTCCTTTATAACTGCATGACTGAGAAGATTGGGCTTGCTGCATGCAGTAAATCAGTTTTTCAGCTGTGGCCCACAGACTTCTCTGAGCTGTGTCTGAGCAGTCTGTAAAAGGTAATGGAAGAACCTGCTGCCACATGGCTTACACTCCTGATGTGTGGTCAAGAAGGGATGGGGAGTCCAGTACTTTACCAGAGAATTTTAGGGCATTGCAAACAGGCAACAAAATAGGAAACTATGGCAGTAGTCTGTCAAGTTCAGTGGCTAAAGAACAGGAAAGACATAGAAGCGCTGTGTTTTCTGATCTCAGATTTATGATCATATTCTGTACTCTAATGCATACTTTCTAGCTCTGCTCTTGCTAACTTAAGGAAAAACACAGTTAATATCTAGTTTTTGCTCTTTTTAAACCAGGTTGGCAGCTCAATACCTCCCGAAGATAACCGGTCTTGTGTGCGACCCCAAGTGATTCGGCTTGTGTCTTGTGAAGAGGGGATTTTCTCTCAGGAACTGGAACCTTCTGAGAGCGAGGAGTGTGTAATCTACCCTGAGCAAGATGAAATCCATCCCACAGACCCTAGCAGGTTAAAAATAAGCTCTCTGCTGTGCATGGCTTGGACGTTTCTGTTTTAGTTTGCTTGCAGCTTGTGTGGTAACTTGGACGAGTTGACTTACTGCCTGATTGATGCCAGGCATGTTTAGTTGAGGGTTTTGTGCCAGCCTGATGCTAAAGGAATCTGCAGCTAAGAAGGCACCATTAAAATAATCTTTCCTCTGAGGAAACTGCACATTAGCAGCCTCCTCCAAGTTCTTTCCTTGAACAAACAACTTGGGAGCAGCCTTTTTGCTTTCTCCCTTATCTGAGTTGAAATAAGCAAAGAAAAACTTGGAAGCTGGAAAACCACCCAACACTGGTGTATACGTGGCAGTGAAATATCTGCCCATGAGAAATGACAGGACACTATTATTTATGACAATTTCAAACCTAATTGGGCAAGAATTTGACAAACGTAGTATGTCATGACCCTTTTTGGGGAAATAGAATGGCTTGCATGAGACAGATGGAATTGAAAAGGACACTGGAGACAGTGGAGACCTTTTTTCTTCCACTGCCATTTCTTCTGTTTTAATTTCACCGTACTTAATTTTCTGTTTCATTCTGTGCTCCTCTTTTTTTTTTTTTTTATTCTTCCCTACCCCTCTTAACCCGATGCTAATAGCTGTTTAATTTCCTCTGTCTCCTCCTGCTCTGTTAAAAAGAGTGGGCTGATAGCTTTAGATGGGTTTTTATGCAAGAGTGCATGCCAAGATTTTGCAGTTGAAGCTGCCAGGTTTCTCCCAGTTTCTCTTTATTTACATTTTTAATTTTATTATGATAACATTTGGACAGAGCAGACCTGTCTGCAGCTCCATCATGTAAGAAAGGGAGGGGCTCTGGTGATGTTGGATACAGAGTGGACGCGTCTCAAAGTATACCGAGTTAGCAATTGCCCCTGGCAGCTTGCAATTCAGTTCCGTTGAGTGACATCTGCATCCTACCTTGCATCGGAGTACATCTGAAACTAAAGTATATCATAAAGTGGAAAACTGAAGTCCTCAGGCATCAGGCAAAAGAAGGGTGCTGGTGTCATTTGACAAAATAAGACTCGTGAAATCACAACAGAAATCAGGAACCCTGTCCTACAATATTGTATTTTTGTATGACGTTCTTCAGTAAATTAGTCTTGCTGAAACCCAGGATCTTCTCTATTTTGCAACGCAGAAGTTGCCCGAAGGAGCAGGTCATACACATGGAAAATATAATATATTAGGGCTCAAATCTACTATCATGCAGGTATAGGCCTGTTTTTAGTCCCTTTTTCATTACACATACCTCTATATTTGTTCCTCACCTGTGCTGGAAATCAAACCAGGGCAGTGCTGTGCTGGTGCCTGGTAATCATGGGAAACTGACAACGCCCAGAAAGTCAGACAGTCCCCTTGAGACTTCACTGTCCAAGCTTAATGAAATGCAAAAAATATACTGTGTAATGATGAGAGAATCAACTTCTTTTTCTCTTTAAAGCCTTACTTTTGTAATTAAAGGTGTTACTAACACAGGTAAGGCCTTATTCATGTTAGAATGTGCTTCTTTACAAGTAAATCAAATATCTCTTCTAGTGCTGTATCTTTCCTGTCTCTCTTGTAGTGAGTTCCAGGTAAAAGCATTGCCCCATGGGAAGCTAAGTAGAGGTTATCACAGTAATGGATGCCCAGACAAACACAGTCCTGACAGTGCCTGCTCTGTAGATTACAGCAGCAGTCGTCTGTCCAGCCCAGACCATCCAAATGAAGGTAAGATGCAAAGACAGTATTAAGTGTACTTACACGTGATGTGGAGCACTGCAGAAACTTGCTGGGGTGGTTCTGTGCCGTGTTGCTATTCTGATCTCTAATACTTGATCCTCTTCATGAGCTGAACAGAGGTCACGCTCCTATTAGACTTGTTAGTATTGCTGTAAAGATTCAGCTGCATTTGAACAGGCACTTTAGTGAAGCCCCTGTAGAAACCGGAGTTGGTTAAAGTGCACTTTCCTCGTGCACCTTTGGCTTTCTTTTACCTTGCTAGGTAAGGAGGCAGGTTTAGTACTGATTGTCCCATAGGCTATGCTGTGTGGGATATGGTAGATTAGAGCATTGCACTTAATGCTGACCGACTTTTGCTTTAACATTCTAGGTTCAATTTAGCATATTTGCTGACTTTTTATTAACCTGGCTAATGTTACTGTGATTATGCTAATACAGCATTGGAATTTTTGCCTTTTCCCAGATTCTGAAAGCACTGAGCCCCTAAGTGTGGACGGTGTCTCAGACCTGGAGGGAGAGGAAGGAGAGGAGGACGTGGGTACTAGCATGCCGGAGGGAGAAATACCCCAGACACCCGATCAGGAGAAGTTCCTTAAACAGCATTTTGGGACCCTGGGCAGCACTGATGGAAAAGGTACAGCACTTTGTTCGGTGGGGGGACTTTGTGAGGTCACTCCAGATTTGTCCCCTGTATAGTAGAGAGGCCTAAAGAGCAACATCTGATAACTCCATTGGTCTGTCTGTAAGTTTGTGTGGATGGAATTGGGGTCTGTGTCAGTCTGGGTTAAGTATTGTCCCTGGAATTCTGAAGAGCCGTTCTCTTGTTCCCGGACTAGTTTTTCCTGTTGTTTATGAGGGTATTAACTGTGTGTTCAAATCAATCCCCCTCCACCCCCCCATAGGTGACATGTAGTGGCCTCTAGTGGTATATGAAGGCATAACAAATGTCACAAAAGAAAAGGCTGAAATGCTGGGAGGAGGGAGAGAATAAGAGGAGGCATCAGAATGGCAAAGGAGCTTGTTAGTCTTTATCGACCAACTCCAGAACAAAGCATATCTTTTTAGAATTTATAATAGTTTCAGGCAGCAATACTATGTGAGTTGTCTGTTTTGTGTTGGTTTTTTTTCCCCCCCTCCTTTGATTGGTTTGTTTTCTGTTTGATGCCAGCGCCTCACAGTCCTACGGGCAGGACAGGACACAAAGGGAAGCGAAAAAGGAGGAGGCGTACCCTTAGGGAGAGTAGCAGTTTAAGGCAGAGTAATCCAAGTAGAACAGAAAAGGCAAAGGCAATGAAATTATTTAATTCTCTGTGGTTTTTGCTCAAAAAATCCCCTTGGATATGGGGGAACATTTGATAGTCTCTGTGATAAGAAAAATGCATGTGTCAGAATGTTTGTTCTGTAACTAAAATGCTCCCTTTTTCTCTCCCCTTGAACCAAAATTTTTAGGCGGCTCATGTAGGAATCTGGAAAGAACTGAAAACCTCAGCATCTCCTCTCGCTTTCTTTCCCAGTCCCCGGCTCTCAGGTATGGCTCTGCTTGTTTTGAGTGTTTCCGTCTTTCTATTTTCACTAGTGTGAATAGGTCTCATGGTGGGCCCTGGGCCAAAATAGTTGAGCAAACTTCTGGCCTTGGTGTGCCCAGGCACAGCAAAGTGTTAGCATAGCACCTGGCAGGCTGGTTGCAGACCCTTGTGATTTGGACAGACCATCCTGCGTCACTTTAGCTATTCTGTTCCTTCCTAAAGCAACACTGTTGTTTTGTTCTTTCTCCTCTTTCAACAACATGCTTAATTGTTTCATGATTAATGCCTTGATTGATTAAGCTGGAGGAATTGCTAATCATCTAATGTACTCTTCACTGTTTATGCTCTGTTTATTCTTTTGCATTTCATTCAGCTTGGACAATGAAAGTAGGCTTGTCAACTTTTCCTTTGTTTTACAGTCCTTTCTTACTCAGCTTTGTTTCTCAGTCCCATGCCTTCACAGGGTGCTCTAGTGTCTCATACAAAGCCCCATGGGAATATTATTCTGCCAAAAAAACTTGAACCCTAAAGCACCCCAAAAGGCCCCTCCAAGCTGTTTCCCTTGCTGTTTAAAAAGAAATCCCAACAAAACAAAGAAACAAAAAAAAGGAAAAAGAAATAGGGTAAATACTTTTGTTGATTTGGGTTCATAAATGTCTAAAACAGACAATTACTCCTGTATTCCTTTAAAATGACAAACTGAAATCTCAGCTCAAATTAATTTCATTGCATAGGACTGAGCAGATTGGGGTACATCTTCTATAGTTCACCAGCTGTGTCTAGATTCACCGTGTTAGGAAAAATTTTTTTGTCATTGCTGTATTCAGCTGCAGTTGCTGCTGCCAGGAGTGCCTCTTAGTCTGTCTTGCATTGGGATGGTATGTTTGGGAAGAAAGCTGGTGGTTAGCTGTTGTGTAAGCTTCTGGAGAGTTGCAATGGTGAGTGAAGGAAGTCACTGGCACTCTAGAGATGTAACAAGAGACGTGGTTTTCAGTTACGGAAACTTCTGGGCTTTTAATCTGTTCAACTGTTCAAACATGCCAGATTGAAAATTGCCTCCTGTGCGAAGTAAGCCCACTGTGCTTGTCTGGAGTGGAGAGGAAGAGGAAATTAGGCTTTACCTCTTGAAAATACCGACCGTGTTTCCTAGTAATTATGCTTTCATAATGTTAGGACAGTATAATTACTTTCTTTTAGGGTATCTTAGAACTGAAAAGATTTCATTGTTAGTAAGGTGAGCTGAGAGAAATGACCTGCCCTGACTTTGCCCCGTCTTCCCTCTGCCTGGAATTTTCCTTCTCTTTTGCTTTCACCTTTTACAGTGACCCCCCTGGAAACCGTGACCCAATGGTATTTGTGATTGCACAGCCTATGGTCAAATGCCTGAAGACCAGTGCTTCCAGGGATGAGTAGCATAAAGAGTTAACAGTCTAGGACATTTTTGACTTAAAAAAAAAAAAAAAATCCAGATAGGGAAGGGCTCCTTATCCCAGAGAAGCTGGCTTAATGCGTGTGCCTGTTTGTCCAGAGCAATATGCTTACTTGTTTTAACTGGGGTTTCTTTATCGTATTCTCTAGACGATTGTCACTCTCTTCATCAAATCTGATACTGGATTCAAAGCCCATCGAGTCGACAACGCAGAGCAATCGGCTTACACCAGACCTATTGAAAAATGGCAGTGACCATCCTGGTGATGCACTGGAGAACAGCCAGCTCCTGGACAGTGTAAATTCAAATAGGGCTGTTTACGTCCAGAAAAAACGCAGATCAGCTTTGGAGGCCAGCAGAGTTGGTATGGCTCCTGGACGGGTTATTGCATCCTTTCCAGAAGGCCCTGTGAACGCAGTGATGAGAAAGGCACAGTCAGTTCACGACCTTGTTCATGAGGGTAAGGACACAGGTTGGAATGATGGTATAAACCCAAGAATGAAATGGGGAGATTTGAGCTTGAGTAGAAATTGAAATTAAGCTTATGTCTTTCTGCATTCTGAGCTACAGGCTTTGCATATCTTCTAACTCTTAGCCTGTCAAGGGAAAATACTTTTAATTTGTAATGCAGATGCTGGTCTCTTAATTATCAGTCTCTGATACTTGTCTGGCAGCTGTGGGAGGAGCAATGCCAAGGGTGAAATGAACTATTTGCAAACAAATTCTGTCTTGCTGTGGGTGGTTGCTCCAGGCCAAGATTGAAGCTCCCCAGGGTGGGGAGGAGAGAAAAAGGGAAGGAGGAGACAGTGAGAGGGAGCTTGCTGTATCCATGCAGCTTGTGTGAAAGAACTCCATTTTTGAAACAATTGACTCGTGAACCATCGATAAGCACTCAATTTGTTTTTAAAAAAAGCCCCAAACCTTATCACTGCAGCATCATGTATAAGCTTTTGCCTGCTTCCTCTGGCCTCTTCAGTTAATGGTCACAGTGGTCTGAGGTCTTTTGGCCGTACACTTTAAGAACAAGTCTCTCTCATCAGGTAAGCAGCAGTGTGTTAGCAGGACAAGGGATGGGCAAAAAGGAAAGCTGTTGAGGCTTGGTGATACTAACCTGAAGCAGCAGTTCAGTACACCTCTCCCAGGGGCTGAGCTGAGGCATATAGACAGGAGCAGCTCTGTTACTTTCCAATTTTGGAATTCACTGCAGGCTCTTGTCTATTTTTTGGTATGTTTGTCTGTTTAATTTTCACAGATAAGGGTCCTGGAGTGGTATCCTCTGTCAAGCAGCGTCCTCAGACTCTTTTGGTGGTTGAGAAGGACCCCAGACCTAACAATTGCAGGGTGTTATCAGCCAGTATGTTGAAGATGGATGGATCTGGTGCTCTGCTGGCCAAAGATGTCAGGGCTGCAAAACCAAAGTCCTACATGAACCCCACAACCAGCTTCCGGGCTAAGATGTCAAGGAGCGTATCTGTAGGGGAAAATCTGTACCTTGGTTACTCCACCGAAATGCTGACTGATGGGAGGACTAGCCCTCCAGTGGCAGAGAAGACACAGTTTAGTTCCACAGCAGATGCTGAGAAGATTAAGCTACCAGTGAAAGAAAATGTTCCAGTGAAGCCAGCACTTCAGCCAGTTGTAAACTGCTCGTCTCCCAAGTCCTTCCACAGCAAGTTGGCATCATCAAACCGAGCACATCTGATTCTTGACATTCCCAAGCCATTGCCTGATAGACCCACACTGGCCTCCTTCTCACCCACTACCAAACCAAAAACCCTGCTTGAGCCACAGTCTCCGCAGTCACCTGCTGGGGCCTGTAAAAAGAAACCCTCTTTTCCTGAGGTCCGAGCCTCCAAGAAGGAGAATCAAACTGCTGGGTCTCTGGTTCCTGGTAGAGAGATCCCAACAGGACTTGCTAAGGAGAGCCCATTGGAGAGTCCAGTCTCAAGGACAGGTTGCCAGGATGAGCCAGGGGTCACTAATCCAAAACTGAGGGAGTTGTCAGAGGGCCGACACCTAAGGTCTCCTGAGGGCACACTGCCCAGGTGCAGGGAGAGGATCACCGGCATCGCCTGTGTGCTAGACAACCAACCTGGACTTTGCCCACTAGACCCCATCAGGCCGAGGTCTCCTACATCTATAACTGCCTCGGCACAGGTCTCAGGTGTGCATGGATACCCATCTCTTATCTTCCCCCTTCTGTCTCCTGTCTTTGTGAACCGCCTCACGATCCCATCACATTTCTTTACGTCCAGCTTCTGGCCTGTCTCGTCTTGTCTGCACCTGTCTCGTTCCATAAGCCATCCCCTCAATGGTGAGACACTTCTTCAACCTGACATCTTTTTCTCAGTCTTTAATTTCCATTTCCTCTGGGTCTTATGTCTGAAGCTGAATGTTTTACAGACTTCAGCACTCGTGTGTTTTTAGTCGTAGTTACCTGTAGGGGCTCAAACCTTTTTCTAGTCAATGCTAAAATCTGACGTACTGGCAATCCCCATGAATGTGTGTAGGTTACATCCCCTGTACCCCTCTCGGAACGTATCTGACCAGCAGATGAAGGTGCAGGCCAACACATGCTAGCTGAACCTCGCCACAGATGATAGTGACAGTGAAGTTACGCCAGGCAGCTCAGGCTTTACTGTGTTAATGTGCAAGTGTGCAGGATCCAGAAGGGTACTTCAATCAAATTAAAACTAGCAGGTAGCTTCAAACTGAAGCAAAACTCCTGCCCTCCAAGGCAGGAAAAGCTCCAGTGGCAGAGACAACACAGTTTAGTCCCACAGCATCTCCTGCGGGATTAAAACCTCCACAAGTTTTTCTTTTGTGTCACAACCTGAAGGGAAATATACTTTCCTGAAATACTCAGCTGAGTCGTGCAGTAGGAAGCTGGATGTTAACCACTGCACTGATACCCTGTACCTTCGGGGGGCTAGACAGTGCACAGTTTTTAATCCCTTTTGCTATGTTGTTTTTAGTCATATCTCAGAAGTGACACCTCTGTAATCCCCCGATCAATGGCTTTCTGTGGTGCCAGGCTGTTGTACCATTCATCGCAATGGTTAAGCACAATATTTCTGCACCAGAGCATTGCAGAGAGATAATCTGTTTTTGATACACTGGTTGTTTTTTTTTTTTTTTTTCCTTTTTGCATTTCTAGAGAGATCAAATGCCCTAAGATTGAAGCACTCTTATGCAAAACAGGAATTGGAGGGACCTGCTGTTCTTATAATATAGAGTAGCTGCTCTGTAGAACAGCAAGTGCATCTGAAGCTTTCAGACCCCCTACCCTTACAGGGGTGAGGTTTCCTCCAACATCAGATACAACCTGGAGCTGTGGAATCCCATTCTACAGTCTAGTTGTCTGTACTCTTTAGGCTGAGTTTTCTCTTCTGGACTCAGGTATCAAGCTACATATCACATGGTTTTTGGTCAGTTGCTAGGCATCTTTGTTTGCAGAATCAGCACAGATAGTGTGGAGAGAGCAATTCTTCTGCAGCAGTGATGATTATTTTTTTTTAAAGCAGCTCCCAATACACAACACACCCTGACTGAATATTTAGCAGCATCCTTTAGAGAGTTAGGAGGATTTAGCACAGTGGATCCCCAATTACTTTTTTTTTTCTCAACATCCAGCTGTCAGCCTTCAGCTTCTTGCAGACCACATTTCCCAAATTTTTAGTGGTAGATGCTGGAAAAGCTGTGTAGATCCAAGTTAGCTGTTGCTATGATCAGTTTACTGTGGCTTCTCTGGATCATAGTGTGGCAGTTTAAATTAGAACTGTAGGGTTGACAGAGACCTGTTCTGCTTCTGACTTGCTCTGTGACTTTGGGTTTCCACTTAATTTTTCTGTCCTTCTGTTTTCCTGCCTGTATAACAGTTGCAGATAAAGAGACTTAATTGTTTTTGTTAAAGCATTTTGACATCCACAGTTAAAATACTGTAGATGTGCTTAATACTGTTGCTGTGTTTAATAGTCTCTGCTGGTTTCTGAAGAGCTCTGCTCTGCACACCCGAGAGGCAGAAAATGCCTGTCACTCAAGCATTTGTATTATGTTTGTGACCTCTCTCCAGACTGGCAGCTCACAAAGCTGGAGACCAGCATAAAAAGCATAATCAGAGGAGGAATTCAGAAATGGTCATGAGAAGAAACAGCTGTGTTTAAAACAAAAAGAGGGGAGGAGGGGAGCAGCCAAAAAAAAAAAAAAGAGGTTAAAAAAATAAAAGGCAAGAAACGAATCTTGGACTGGACTGAAACCCACTGTGCTCAAACTCTACAAGGTTGGGTGATTCAGATGGAAGGATTTGTTCATGCCCCTTTGTTCTTCTGGATGTGTTTGTTTATGTATAAAGAGATGTTTTTCTAGGTGTATTTGTTTATGCATCATCTAGATGTATTCATAAAATTAACTAAGGTCCCTGTTCAAAGATGACGTTTGTAGAAGTGCAGAAATAATAGTGCTAATGTGACCAAGTTTTGATTTTAGGTAACTAAAGGAACTTGAGTTGCCTTTGTCCAGGCCTTTGCAAATTGAAGATAACTGCAGACTGTGTGTGTGTCTATGTCTTTGTTCATGGTTTATGTCTAATTCATAAGAGTGTTAACTTTATTAAAACATTGCAGGCCTTCAACGCTGTTGCTTTGGAGATAATATATGGTGGAGGCAGGCAGAAATCTTCAACGATGTTCCTCAGTTGCTTGCTTTTGTTTTTCATTTTTGAATTATGGTGTATCAGCAGTGCATATCCTGGGTTGCTCAGAAATGTGATTCTCTTGTGATTGAGTTTGTATGTCAACACTCCTCTGGACCTCAGTCCTCACTAGAGAACGCTATAATAATTCAGTATAATCCTTCATCTTCAGTCCTTTGTTGTACACTGTGCAGATGGATGCATTAAGGGGAGCGTGTAGATTTCTGACTAGGTGGAGGATAAATTAGAGGTTTCTCAGATCAGTCTCTTTTGCCACTGGAAGCCTTCATTCAAACTTAAGTTTAATTGTAATTGAGAATGGTGTGGGTAATCTGTGACTACCCTTGACTGTAACAAAAATTTGCAATCTGAGAAGAACCATTGTTGACTTCGGAGAGGCTAAAGACTGGATGAATAGGAGTGTTTAAAATAAGCAGCATTTCTAGATGGTATGAAGGAAAGCTCATGTAGAACTTGCTTGTTTAATGATTGGCTTAAACCAGCCCTAAAAATTGAACAAGAAGTATGTGCACATGGTCTTTCAAATATATATATTAAAAAAAAAGGTTTCTTACCCAACTGTGAGATCGCAGATATTGGAGTGTGTCTGTGCCTTAGTTTGGGTTTTTATTTTTTCCTTCCCTGCAGAATCGTGCATCAGCGTAGAGCAGTGTGAGCACGTGGTATCCGAGCTCCAGGACAGCATGCGCAAAGCCATTCATCTTTACCGCATGGTGAGTGACCTCAGACACGGGCTCTGATAGAGTAGGTTGGCTTTACAGCCTGCGAGCATTGAATGTATGTGCTTGCTCGCTCAAAGTGTTCTTTTGACTGGGTGTTAAGTGACACAAGCTGCCTGATCGTCCACTTGACTGCACCTTAAGCTTGAACCGGCGAGGCAGGAACTCCTGATTTCCAACTTTTGGATTTTCCAATGTCTTGCTATGGTACTCAGAGCAAATCAGTTAACTTTTCGGTCTGTTTAGCCCATCTGTAAACTGAAGATAACAGTACGCTTTTTTTGAAAGGGGTATTAGGGAATTAGTTAATATTTATACAGTGCTTCAGAGATACGAAGTATTATAGGAGCTTTAAGTTTTATTATCGCCATCTGTTCTCTGTCTTTGATGCCTGGGAAAAGGATTAGCAAATGTGAGATACCATGGGAATCCAGCTGTGAGAGGGAACATGCAACCACTCGCCTCTCCCTCTCGCTGCCAGACCAGAGTTACATGCAAAGCAGTATAACAGCTCTTCATTTCTTTGCTTAGCACTGATCTGTCAAGTCGCTTGTAATAGGCGTGAAACTTCCACAGTGAGCTTCTGCCATGTGGTCCTCTGCATCTCTGGCGTTAGTGCTTGCGTTAGCTCTCTGACCTTGCTCTGTTCCTGTGACCAGCTGCATCTGGCAGACAGCAAGGAAAGGAGACTGTGACCCTTTGCTGCAGCTGGGAAACATAGTACCTCCTTAGGCCCAGTATAAGAAGAACACTACCCAAAAATGTGCTTCCCATCTCTGTCCTATTGGAGTAATGCCTCTGGATTTTGTGTGACTAGCAGTGTTGGATGCATGCCCTGCTATATGACTAAATTGGCAGCCTCAAATGTTGAAGAAAAGGACGCTTTGAATGGTCTGCAAATCATCATGGCTTCACTTCCTTTAAGGGCTGAAACTGCTTACTTGGTGCTCTACCTAAACCCCAATGTGTTCTTTTCCCTCTATTTTCAGGTGTTAAATGATACGGAGTCTTCTACTGACAAAGATAAAATAGCAGGCCTCCTGACAGAGACATTCTCCTCAATGAAGAAAGAGTTGGACTCTCTGAAGGATGAGGAAGAGCTTCCAAAGGTTAAGGAGGTGCTGGTGAAGCCACAAGATAGCACGAGCCCACTGAATGAGGGATGTGGTGCCAATCTACCGAGTCCCAAGAGTTTGGGAGATGAGCAGACACTAGCTTTGCTGGAACAGTACTCAGAGCTATTGCTACAAGCTGTGGAACGACGCATGGACAAAAAACTTTAAAAGGGCTGGATTTCAGGTGTTTGTGAATACACAGAGATAATCCCAAGAAGAGGACCACAGAGAGAGCTTCAGACTGATGCTATCATTGCATGGGTCTAGGGAGACCTTTACGAATTGATTTCCTCAGGCCCCTACAACTGACTTGCTCTAATTCTTAGCAATGTGCTGGCCACAATTTTAATATTTTTTTCCCCCCCAATGGTTTTCAACTTCCTGTCTCTAGACAAAGTCTTGAAAGAGGAGTTTGGAGGAATTGCCTTGAAATTTCTTCATAGCCGGGAGGTCAGGATGTTTGGCACCTAAAGAAACAAAGAAAATCCAGTTTATCCAAGAAATTGTGAACTGCTGACTAAAAACAAAGGAGTCCAAGTGAAGCCAATCCCTTCCTCTCCAAGGCTTCAGGAGGATCAAGAAGCAGACTTTTAAATGGGTTTATTTATTAATTTATTTTTCTGACTGTTGCTCTATGTCACGTTTGTGGCTATTATCTTTGTCCTTTAACAAAAACTGTCAATCCCTTTGCCATATCCCAGCGAGAAACAATCTCTGTATTATGAACCCCCAACAGGGAGACAGGCTGGAGTATCTGTGCAATTAATGAACTGTTTTCTGCTTAAATCTTGTCTTTCTGTTCTTTCTTTTCCTGCCTTAGTTTTGTTACCTGGAGTAATCCTACTGTTGTCATGACAACCCTGTCTGCTTTTCTCTTGTTTCAAGACAGTCCCCACACTATATTTTTTTTCTGCATTCACCTCCGGGGGACGGCTTTGCAACCCTTGGACCATGCTTTGGAGATTACTTAATGAATTCAGTAGTGGTATTTTTAATCTGGAATTTGACATTATATTGATACTTCAGACTGGGTTTTCTGCAGACATTTTAAAAATGGGATTTAAATGCAAATATGGAAGTTTTTTTTCAGCCAACTTTCATGATTAGTCATTGGATATTGACTTTGATGTTATCGTGACGGGGAAATTTGGAGTGATGATTTATTTGTTGAGAAGTGACATGGAAAAGCTGGTTTCTATCTCTTACAGTGTAACTCTGGGTTTGAGAGATCTTCAGTGCAATGGCTTATCCATGTCATTTGTTCATTTCACTGTGATAGGAAATGTTTTCTTCTTGCTTTTCCAGGAAAACAGAATATTTACATCCTAAGAAGGCTGGGATTCTCTTACCTTTTGTAAATCTATTTCGACTACCCACAGAAAATGGTTTCCTAAGAACTTTGGACAAGATATTTTGGGATGTGATTACCACCATTTGCCCTTTGCTTTTCATTAATTTCTTGTCTGAGAAACAGAAAATCTTCCTTTCTTGCATTTGTGTGTGCAATAGTCTTCTCACCTTGTGGAGCTTTTCTAAGCCCATGCTAACGTGTTTGTTGTGGCTTAAAACTGTCCAGTGATGGGTTTTTGTGGTCAATGATAAGCTAAGAAAAAAAATTTTCAAACCAATGAAATTCTTTAGCACCTTCCTCCTTACTCCCACTCCTTTCCACAACAGGGACAGATATACAAAATGCTTTATTTCTTACTCCATCTCCAGTCTGTCTCGTATTTATTTTAAGGCAGAGCAGTGTAATCCCAGTTTGTTGAACTAATGCGAGCAACAAGTTCTCGGTGGGATAGAGACTGCTAGCTTCTGTGGAAGTCACTCAGAGGCAGCCACACTGCATCACTTGGTTCCACAGGTTACAAGCTTGAAGCAATTTTCTTTCATTTTACTGTCCTGGCTGTCATCGCTTTGAAACCCTGTGGCACTCGGAAATCTGGTCTGCTGACTTCTCTTCCTTCCTGTGACTGGAGATCTGTAGTGCAGCCTTTTTTCTATGGGGCTGGCCAGGCTGGTGTGGGATGACCTGTTTCTTCTGAATAACTCCAGGGCTAAATAATCTGCAGTTCTTGCTCTCCCCCTAACAGGTTTGCTGGCTGATCACCACTGTCGAGTGCTTCAGGACTTGGCAGTATGAGGGTCACTTTGAGAGCTTTCCAGCTACTCCTGCCTGTAACCTAAATCTGCCTAATCACGTTTCAGGTGTCCTTGCTAACTTTTCCTTCTATGGTCTTGTACTGAAAGTTTAAAAGTGTTATTTTCTAGTCCTGTCTCAGCATTGCACTTTGCTGAATCAACTGGTGTGCTCAGTCCCATGGGGAGCTTCTCTTGCATGGGCAGGTTTTGCAAAGGAAGGCAAGTTGAAAATCAGAGAGGAAATTTCTGGCAGTTTCCTTAAGTGAAAAGGTGTGCTGGAGATGCTGGGAGTGGAATGTATGATGGCAGTCATGTTGGGTCTGTGATGGAGTTAGTGTGGGTCAAGCTTGCTTTTGAGGTGATTAGTTCCTCCACTTTCAGACTGTGAACAAATGTCCTAGTATACAGGAAATTTCTTGTACTGGGGCCACAAGACACTCAGGTAAAAAAGCAGTCCCTTCAACCCAGGTATCTTTTGATACTGGCGATAATGGTTTGAGGGTCCTTTATATTACTTCCCTGTGCAATTTTATTCAGTTTTGTTATTTAAACTTCAAGGTAGTGACAAAAAGGGTCAGAGACGAAACAGAAGAGGCAGTGGTGAGAATGAAATTCCCATTAAGGTAAAGAGCAACAACCAGTGAAGCCAGCATAGAGATATGAAACAAAGCTCCTCGGAAATGACTTGTGTGAAGCAAATCTGATTTTTAAGCTGATCAGAGTGTGTTTTGCTTCCTGGAATGGATTTTCCTTGGGTTTGTGGCTGCATACAGGAAAACAGAGGTAAAATCTGATCAGAATGGTGGTAAGAGAAGTGTCAGGCAAGTAGATCAGCTGGAGGACGGTTGTGTAGTTTAAAATAAATTAGAATAGTATGTGTAGGACACACAGGAAAACAGAGTAGAGGTAGAGATAGTCTTGGCCTGAGGAGCACCATTTGGCCAATACCTGTGAAAGATATAGTACAGAAAGGCTTCAGGAAAGTAGATTTAGGACTGAGATGGTGATCTGTAATTGAAGAATGAATTGGAAAGGGCTTGTTTTTAAATATGTCCTATTGGGCCTCTCGTTTCTTTGCATGCTGTCCTCTAAGCAACTGTTTTTTCTTAAACAGTGAAGTGGTGAGCTGTTTGCCCAAGGCTTGGATGTTATGAATTGAGTAGTAGAAGCCCAGTAAAGGAGATGCTGGTGCCACAAGTTTGTTGCTGAGAGTGGTGAGGAGATAGTATTGCTCTTTAGAATTTGAGACTGATTCAACTGATTCTTCCCTGCTAACTTCCTATTGCTGGCAGTAGGAAATACTCCTAAAAATTGTAGTTTACAGAACAAAGAGAGCATAAATGTGTTACATTTTCTTGCACCTTGTGAATATGTTTCACCACAGGCTGTCCATTGGGCCAGGTAGAGAAATACTGAACGTTAACTGCCTGCCTGTGAAGTGAAGAGGCTTGTGGGAGGAGGTAATAAACTTGAGTCTATCCCTCTTACTGGTTTGTGTGGGTGTTAGCATAGCCACAACCAGATATCTGTATTAGGACAAGTTCTTTTTTCATGCTTTACGTTAAACAATAATTGGGACCTACCTATCCTCTCTACATACATTTTGTCTCCTCCAACCCAACGTTCCTGGTCAAAATGAGAAAAGTTGTTGTGGTTGTTTTTCTGTCGTGTAAATAGTATTACTTTGCCTGTGGGACCCCTTGGTTCGTTCTTGGGCCCTCTGAACTGGTGCAGTAGGAAGGGCTGCAACCTCAGAGGGCAGCAAACACTTTTTTTTTTTCTGTTTTATGTCCTGCTGCAGGCAGGCAAGGCCTTCCTCCTCCCCACCCTTCCATAGCACCCAGGAGCTGTGTGTATGGGAGTCGTTTTTTCTTCCACCTCCTCTCTCAGGTTGTCCTCTCCTTTCCATGGGACCTCCCAGGCGATGATGGTTGGGGCAGTCCTTGCAGCCGCCCCCTCCCCAATCCCCCGTTTTACAGACTTTATCGTGACTCAGAGGAATCGGGACCTTTCTTTGCGGGAGTAGAAACATACAAACTTTTTTTTTTTTTTTTTAAAGAAAGACTATGTATATAATTATATATAAGAAAAAATGAAATGCAGGTATCTAAACAGCATTGGTAAATTCATGCATGTATACGGTGTCTCCCCCTCGCCCATCCTGTCGGATGTGTAGCATCCAGGAAACTAAATGACAAAAAAACCCTCATTTAAAATCACGGACGGCTCTTAGAGCAGCGCCTGAGTGAGCGGCTCCTTCCTTCTCCGGGTCAGCCCAGCACCTCCCTTATTTCAGATCGCGCGTGTAAATAACACGGGGGGTGGGAGAGTTGGGTGGGCCTGTGTTCGCCTCGGTAACCTGCTGCCGGGGGGAGGGGGGGGACAGGCG